ACTCCACTCCACTCTATTCTGAATTCTATTCTATTCTATTCTGAATTCTATTCTATTCTGAATTCTATTCTATTCTATTCTGAATTCTATTCTATTCTGAATTCTATTCAATTCTATTCTGAATTCTATTCTATTCTGAATTCTATTCTATTCTATTCTGAATTCTATTCTATTCTGAATTCCATTCTATTCTATTCTGAATTCTATTCAATTCTATTCTGAATTCTATTCTATTCTGAATTCTATTCTATTCCATTCTATTCCAGGTGTCCCAGGTTAATGTTGCAGGATCCAGTCTGGGTCGGTCACTGGAACCAGAGGCTTAGTCCTCCGAGCTTGAAGTCCACCTGCAGGGAACCTCTCTCTAACCTTTCCCTTGGCTGCTTCTTACTTTTGATTCTTGCCCTTGTTATTGTTTTACTTTTCACATTGTCCGCTGCCCAGATCTCCTGACTGAGACCAGCGGCTAGCTACAGCGACTCAGTAAATAAACAAACGCATTTCTTTCGGAGCGATGATGGGCGGCTGGTTAAAAGACTCGGGGGTGTGAATCCGTTTATCCGTTCATCCTTCGCTTAAAAACATCCCAGAATCCGTCTCAGCTTCCCTTCGCAACAGATCCAAACAAACCACAACCGCCACAATAAATCCAGCAATAAATCCTCCCGAAAAGTTAAATGATGCAACGAGCTGGAAGTTTTTTTTACCTCCCCTCGGTTTCATCATCGCTGGAGGTTTGAATCACTCTGCAAAATAAGCGCTAAGAAAAACCAGCCAAGAACGAATGTGGAAGGAAAGAAGCAAAAAATAATAATAATAATAATTCCTTGCGCAGGGAGGAAATCATTTATTTCGGGACCACTGAAAGCCACGCTTTCCGTCGGGATTTTTCACCAGCCAGAGAAAGGGACGGAAGTCGGTCGATGCAGCTGCTTGTCCATGATTGAAGTGGCAGAAACTGACCCAGCTTTATCAATTCCCTAAAGCAGGGGTTGGCAACCTTAAACACTCAAAAGAGCCATTTGGATCCAGTTCCCCACGGAAAAGAGACCACCAGGAGACACCAAAACTACCAGGGCTCTAAAAGCTCAATAAATTGCATGCCGGCGAGTCTCGACAGGGAGCCACAGCAGAGGGACGAAAGAGCCACGGGGGGCTCCAGAGCCGCAGATTGCTGACCCCTGCCCAAAAGGCAACTGTGTTTATGCATGAAATAATCTTTTGTTCTTTTTTTTTTTTTTCATGCAATTTGGACAACATTTATGAATACTTATGGTCTTACATCACATTTGAAATATGGCGTTCTTTTAACATAACTCTTAATCACAATATATGATTAACAATGTATTGACTATTGTTATTGAATACAGATATAACTTGGTTTTAACCATGACTGGTAGCTTTTAAAAAAATATTATCTATCTATCTATCTATCTATCTATCTATCTATCTATCTATCTATCTATCTATCTATCTATCTATCTATCTTTCTTTTTTTTAATGTTTTTTAATTTTT